GTTGCGATATTAATACGTACAGTTGATGAAATGTTATAATATATTATTTATACGGTCCATCTATCGCATTCAAATCGGGCGACATCGTGCGCGTAATTATATTCTTCTCTTTATGCGCATCGGATATAAAAATCGATATCAGTTTCCGTCCACCGAAGCGAAATTTTTTGTCACGTGCCTGACACGCGTTTCACTTACATGATGTCGCAAGCGTTTCTCGTTTATACGGTGCTCAGAGAACGCATTGAAAAACATCCGTTGTACCGTATAATATTGCTGTTATCGCCGCCGCCCCTGGGTGTCATTATTTACATTTCAGTGTACCTATAGTGTTTTTTTTTTTTTTTTTTTTTTTTTTGTCAAAAAGTAAATTTTGAATACATTATGAATACACATTATACAATGAGGGTCATTTTTTTTTTTTTTTGTATACCGAAGAGAAATTGTATTGATTTTTTTTCGACGCGAGTTATATTTCTTTTAGCACATTTGAAAATGTATCGTTCGAGTCGTATACTTGTATATATAGAAATACAGTCTTTATTTAAACAGGTTTAGCCAAGCTTTGCGTATTATTATGAATTTTGAGCGATGCGGAGTGTATCGATTTGACATCGAAGATGTATACGTTTTTTCTTTATATATATATGCATAAATACAAATTTTTTTGTTGTATTGACGTAAACAGATTTTCGATCGAAATATTTGCTCCAGTAACCGTAAATCTTGTGTAGTCGGTGCGCTGGCACGGTTAATGGTTATGTTTTCCCGTTAGCGATGGTTAATCGCTGCGCACAGATATACCTACATTAAATCTGCCCTCTACTACCTTCCCGACTTCTCGCCTACAACAGTGGCTGCACCCGTCCGTCCTCATTATCAGCCAGGACAGCTTTTATTAATTTTCCTTTCAGTTTTCCTATTTTAAAAGGAATTAAATCCAACGGACGCGTCCTTTCGAAACGCTGCGACCTGTAACCACGTCGGGGGTAGGTCATAGGCGTTGCACCGTTGCGAGTCGTGCACCGTCATCGTTTTTCCGGTTGTTTGCGGGATTCGCATCGGTCTGAAATTCGCGACCGACGCGGATTCGCGTTCGAAAGATACATTATTATAATATTATTAACGTGTGCGGCCGCCGAAAAGTGTATTTATTTCCAGCGGCGGGAGGGGGCGGGCGGACGATCTCGGTCCGGGCAAATTGACGCGGCCACGCGTGTCCGACCGGTTGCCGGCGTACAGATAAGCCGCGGCACGCGACCGGCGCGGCGTCGTCGTTCGGCAATAATAGTGCGCGGCCGTCAAACGGTCGGCGGCCGTGGCGGCGGCGTTTAGTTGGCCGGAAAACGTTTACCAGCCGCGTGCGCGTGTTTGACTGCACGTTCGCGCGTGTTCGCACGTGCGTCCCGTTCGGACCGGCGCGCGTGTGGGATTCGCTCGGAGGAAACGATTTACTCCGGCCGGAGCCGCGGCGCGGGAGATCCGAGACACGCGCGCGCCGCCGCCCCACCTCCCGTCGTCACAGGTCGGTCGCAAAGGATTTATACCTGACGGCGTTGATCCGTTCTGTGCCGTACAGTTTCACATTATACTATTATTGTGACCGTCGCGCGACGACGTCGTTCCCCACTCTGTATGCGCGACGTTGCAGTAAGCCGGCGGGTGACGATAGGGTCCCCTTGGCGGGCACGAGTCTTATGATCCGACTGACCGGATATATCATTACACCGGTGTAATCTGTGTACCAGGTGGTCCATTTGAGTGTGCATACACCCGTTGTCATAGCTTTTTTCGGAATTTGTTTTCCAGAACGTTTAAGAAACGAGCAGTTCTACGATTTTATATTTACGATATTTTTTTATTAACCGTTATTTTCGGGGATGAAACCACTATTTACATTTGATTTTCAAATTGCGACCTACATAAAATAAAGTCCACAGACAGACGGAACATTAGTTAAAATAAATTTCACTGTTGACATTTTTGATTTCCGTCAATCCGTTGACGAGATATTCCACTTTTGAGTTTGGGTTGGATGAGAGTTTTAGTGGTGTATTTTAACACCGCGCGTGCCGTACCACCACACAAATTATACTAAAAATCAAAAGTAGTTAGTGGTTTCGCCACCGAAAATAAGGATGACAAAATATAACATAAATATATAAAATCGTAGAGCGGCTTGTTACTTAAATGTTCGACAAATTCCGAAAAATAGTTAATACTTTCCGAGATAATAAGTGTACCCATTTAAATGGGTCATCTGGTACTTACCCATATTTCATTATATGAAATGAATAATATGTATATTAATATAATATGCATATATATATATATATGTATATATATATATTATACATATATATACATATCTATATGCATTTATGTATGTTTATTTTGAAGAAATTTTAAATTTAATAGATAGGCACATTACCACCTTTCCTTACGCCTCCGGTCTGAACTGTTATAACTCATAAACGGTGAATCTGTTATTAGTGTTATGTATACCGAGATTTCCGGAAAAATATTCTTTATTAAAATATGTATTCAAAAGGGGAGGGGGAGGTTTCTAATTTAAAAGCAAAAGTATGTACTTATTTAAGGCATACCGAGAAGGGGTAAGAAATTAAAAATGGTTTTCAAATAAAGTTTAAACGATTCCATTACAATTAGAAAAAACAAAAATAAAATTCACTTAAAATCCTCTCAGATTTTATGAATATATTAAACTAAATTTCATTGAAAACACCAAATTGAAAATTATGAAAGAATTATTTTCTTACATTTTTCCGTAGTTTCTGGATTTTTTTTTCAATTTTGTTCAATTATAAAAAAAACTAAAAAGAAAATCAAAAACAGACTTTCTTGTTCACCAACTAGATTATGAATTCAACGAAAAAGATCTTTTAATGTTTTTTATTGGAGCAATATTTATGGTAGAATTCATAGGCCGTACAAATTTAAAATAATGAAATAGTTGTGCAGTGATTTGGAAAAATATCGTATCTACATATTTCGTCTCTTCTGGTTTTTCCAAATATTATGAAAAATTGTTTGGATATGGAAAAAAAACTTACCTTTTCAGTGGCAAAATATTATAAGGAACAAAATCGATATCTTGTCATTTTTGGACTGGATCAATATTTCTGATAAAAAAACATCGTGTAAACATAATAAAAAAAAAAAAAAAAATGAAAACAATAACGCCACGAAGTAAATATTTGCGTTTTACCTATATTTTTTATTCGGGTTTTTTCCCGATTATTTCGAAAACCCTTTGAAAAATTTAGAAATTACCTCCCCAATGCACCAATAATAGAAAATTACCTTACGTAAAACCTTACGTACCTTACGGAAAAAGTGCAACACTCTATATCTATTTCGTAGCAAGTTTTCTGGTAGAAATGTCGTTCACAAACAGAAAAAAAAATATACACGCACATCATAGTAAAATCAATAGATCCCTCGCTACGCTCCGAATCTAAAATTGATAAACATTAAATTTATAAAATAAAATAAAGTGTGTAATCCACTAGTATGACTATATATAATAACACATATTTTTTTATGAACATATGCCGATATATTGCTGTTTTAAGAACGATGGTTAAGTCAGAATTGAATGGACTGGCTCAGTTTTGAAATAATAGATATTTGAAGTTCTGATATTATACGCGGATATTTAAACGATATGTAAAATATCTCTGTATTGTCTATTTTATTTTATTTATTTGTCATATTGAAGTGGTGCTACCTTCCTATTGTCACCCTAGAGACCGTGATTTCAAATCCGCGTTCCGAAAAAATAATGTTTGCATTTGTTTTTTCCGTTTTACCTAAACAGAGGAAAACAAAGGCATTTTAGGTATTCTAGAGGCCCAATTCTCTTGGACTATTTTAATCAAAAAACACCTCTCGATTTGTTGTGAAAAACTTTTCTACCAGAAATCTTGCTCTGACTTATTAAGTTTAGTTTTTTTTCTAAAAAAAATTTTATCTACCCGGTACTTTAGGGAGACTTTATTCGCAATATTTTACGAAAAAAATTGGTATTAATAGAACTATTATACAAACGCTTAAAGAGAAAATAAATTATTAACAATTATTTGATTGAAAGAATATGTTTGAATCCATGGTATATAAAACAAAATGAAAATATTGCATCCTTCAATAAATTAAATGAAGAGATACAAGGTGAGTGACTGGATAAATTGTTTTTTGTTGCTTTTTCCATTTAAAATTGGACGCCGACGAAAATAATACCAAATTATTAATAATAACAAATTCGGTATCGAGTGTAGTCGCATACGGTAATTTTGACAGTGTACAGATTTTAAAAATAGCTATAAATTCGACAAGACACATTCATCCTACATTACTATGAATGGAAATGTAGTTTTTCCTCTTTATTATACATTTTTATGTGAAAACCATTTGGCTGTATATGTACAATTTTAAATAATTCTTGTTGTTTATTGGTTAAAAATCTTGGCTCTAAAGCCAATCTTAAGGTCTTAGAAGTGCATTTTTTTTCGAAGTTTCCTACATCTTCTAGCGAATTCTAACTTTTTTTTAAAATTTTTTTTTTATTAGTATAATTCATTATGTAGAAGTAATATTAGATTTCAAAACAGATATGTTTAAGATGCTTACAAAAGTCGGTACGAATGGAGGTTTAACATTTCTCCATTATAAATCCCTATAAACAACTTCTCCAAAAAATTCTTGTAGTTTTACGTCTTCTCCGTCTCCTTCGTTTGAACCTAACTTTTTCTCCGGATTTTCGCATAAAAACTATGCCCACAAAAATAATAAAACATTTTCTTGTAAGTATATAGTTTACTCTAATATAAATTAAATAAAACATACTATGCTCATGATGGAAATCGCTTCGGAAGATAGTAAACTGAGATATCGAACTTGATCGTTAACTACGGAGTGAAGCACTGTTAGATCATCGTCGTCAGCGAAGGGGCACCATGTGTGATAAACATTTATATTAGTTACGGTGTTATGTTACACATTAATATCCAAAATATATTTGCCTCCCCGACAAACATTTCATATATCAGTATACCAAAAGACCACCAATCTACACTACGCGTGTAGGACGTTTCGGTAATAAGTTCAGGAGCCATGTATTCGGCAGTTCCGCAGAACGTCGCGGTCGGATCGCCAAAATCCACATCTCTTTTGCCAGTGCCGAAATCCGCTATTTTGACGTACCCATCAGTATCCAACAGTAAGTTATCTAATTTTAAGTCACCGACAAATAATGAACGTAATAATGAACCGTCTTAATAACAACGTTACAGATTATAAAAATGATGTTAACATTGTACACACCGATAAACGATACTATTTCCGTGTAAATATTGTAGGCCCAAAACAATGCAACCGGCATAGAAAATTGCTCTTGGTTCTTCAGACGCCCCGTTACTTATGTGCGTATTCAAATCACCTCCAGCCGAATACTCCATAACAAAACCAACACGAGCCTGTCAACAATAAACCAAACAGTTTTAAAATACAAATAAATAAATAATTTTTAGTATACTTACGTCTGTCTGAAAGCAGTCAAATAAGTTCATTAATAATGGGTGACGGATATTATTAGCATCTTCGAATACATTTTTTTCAGAGTGTAATGACTCCACTTCATTGTCAGCAATTATACTACATTTGTTAAGTGTTTTTTATGGCAAAGTACTCGTACGATTTTGTGTGTTGATACGGTATTATCTATAATATGAATGAAAACCAAATAAAACACAAATCACTTACTTGTACTTGTAATTATTTCTAATAATAATTATTACTTTCCCAAAACTGCCTCTTCCTAATACACTCAGAAGTCTAAAATTTTCAATGGATATATTCGACATTTTATCAACATTCTATCAAAGCCTTTCGGATCGGTTAAAACGTTTTTCCCGTGTCGACGTTCTCCGAAAACAAGTTTTATGTTGAAGGTATATACAAATCAAATCGTATTTTACGTTGTAATAAAAATAATAATACTAAGAAAAACGTCGTCCGATCAAATTTCGGTATAGACTTTTTTTATTATTATTTTATTTTATTTTTTTATTTCTATAACCGATTTCAAAGGGAATTTCCGTGTGTTTTACGAGCGACGTATTTTTGTTGCTACGCGATGAGTGTACGTTACCGCCCGTTATAGAAAAACGCCGCGGCCGATAGCCGACCAGTATTGAAATATGTATCCGGGTGCCGATTTATCATATTATTCGGGTGTTTAATTTTTTCTTTTCATTGGCCATTCAATTTGAATAATTACAATACAAAACGACAAACATATTTATATTCATTTTACGATCTTTCGGCTGTCTGCAGTCGTCGTTTAATGTATTATGTGCGCGTTTAAAATGTATTGGACTATGCAAGTTGACCTAAGAAGATCGTAAAAAGTTCTCATGCCGTACAAAAAGCCAAACAAATTTATCGAAAATATAAACTCGGAAAAAACAATTAAATTGACTACAGTTTATACTACCTATGATGAAATTCAGATAGAAGAAATATTTTGATTGCACGTTTTAGAGCTTATAAAAAATATTCAAATAATAATAATATGCATCACTATTATTATAAATTAATAATGTTAAAGTAATAGCTAGGTAAGGTGAATTTAATAGCAATTATAGATTCTACTTCCTTAAAATAGGTATCAAGATACGGAAATTGCATATATGTGTTAATGTAGTCTATGTACTACGTCGATCCGGAGCGATGTTCAGTTATACATTTTTTGAAAGGCCGTAATATTTACGATTTTCGTCACTTAATAACAATAAAATATTATTTCTAATAAATCACCGTCGTTCAATAGTGAAAAAATTGTAAAAAAAAAAAATTAAAAAATAACACGATTAAATGCCTTATTTCATCGCTATACATGCACGAAAAAAGGGGTCCCGAGTGATATCCATAAATAGTCCAGGAACTATTTATTAGCACGTAATTCTCGATTTTTTAATTTTATAATCCATATACGGTTATCGTTGCGTTCGTTTACACTGTTTGCAGATTTGCTGGGCGATATAAATTATTATTTAAAAATATACCTATAGGTACGGCGTATGACGGCCATACAACAAGAAAAAATTCAATTTTGTATATTTTTATTTTTTTTTACTTTGAAAAAAAATGCTCAAAGCGGACGTATACAGTTAGTGACCCCCCAATAATCCAGTATAATTATTCCTAAACGTTTAAATGATTGTGGTGTTTGTATCTGATTGACGCGAACAAAAAATGATTTATTTTCGATAAGTTTTTAGTTTTACAAAGATGCGTGTGTGTATTCCTCCCCTCCCCTTTAGGTAAATTCGAAACATTTTTCCGAGAAAGCTAAAATAGAGGCTTTTGAAGTATGGTATTGGAGAAGAACGTCAAAAATTGAACAGAAAAGGTAAAAAATGTTGAGGTTTTTAGAAGAACGATACTCACAAATCAATATGGTATACACTGTAGCATAGGAGAAAAACATGGATCGGACATCCAATAAGAAATAGCCCTTGGATTACTACGATAATAGAGGGAAAAATTTAAGAAACACCAGGGAGGAGAAGACCTAGAACACTTTTAGAGGACAGAGACAGATGGAAGAAAACATCAATAATCATTTAACCGATATTACTGGATTGTAAAAAATAAAAAATACTTATGGATACATAGTGCATACGTTATACAATCATATTGTCCGTGCGTATAATAATTATTATCCGTCATAATTGAAAATACAATGTTCGTCGTTTGATACATTAATATGATGTCAGTGTCACATAACGGAGGAGTTCAGGTTCACGCCGTTCACCGCGGTCCTGTTACGTTTTATTTTTATCCATTATTTATGGCGTACAAGCCAACAGCAATAATATTATATTTTCCTAAACTGTTATACACAACAGATTTTTTTTTTTTCCGTACGTTTAAACGGAAATAATCGAATAGGTACGTCGACACGACGACGCGTAACCCCTCGAGAGATTCTATCTCTATCGCCCTCCGAGCGATAATACTGTCATCGAGCCAATTGACACTCCGTTTCAGGTTAGACCACGTTTGCCTTTTGACACGACCTCTGATATTATGCTATTCGTTTCTGTCTCGCTTTCCCAAACGGAACAAACCAGTTTCCACTGTTGCAGATATGTTTTTCGACACTATCCTGCAGTTTGAAAAAGCCAGACATACTTCGTGAGTATAGACAACTGTTGTCGACGGGAAATTAAGAACGTATAAGATACAGGGAAATTTAATTTGTATACCGATAGCCATCGAGCTCCGTTCAGGAATCGGTTTTTGATTGATATATGATTTTATCGTTATTGTTGTATGGTATATAATTTTATCTCATATATTTTTATACTAATACGTAAATACCATTCTTCTCATGCACAACAGTGTCTTCACCTATGGTGCGAAATGTGTCCAGATTTTTTTTTCAAAGTTCCTATTTAAATAAAATTAAAAACAAAACAAAAAAATATTGTCTACACTCGGTCATATTCACAAACATAATAAAATATTGTACGCAATATATTAAACGTCATGTATTGTTTGTAACGGCGACGTACAATAAACCAATACGAAGTACGAGGGGCTGTCGAATGGCCAATTACTTTCGAACAGTAAACACTGAAACTCTTGTAGATAAAAAAAAAAAAAACCAACCGAAATGAGAATTCTAGGGTACTTGGAACCGTCGTACGGCTCATTTAGTAGGGCGACGAGTACACTCGAAAACCCAATCGCTCTGGGACATCCGATTTTATTAAATAGCTGTTTGAATAAATAGTGAATATAGGTAGGTACCAAATTACATACTACGAATATGATAATAATATACATGGCGTTTATTACAGGGTGATCCAGCGATTTTTTTTATTCCAAGGATTTTCAGTAAATTTTGATTTATTTTTTTTTTTACAACCGTCGGTTAAGCTTAATTTTAACTTTATTTTCTCGTCACGTTATTTTTTTTTCTTCTCATTGGAAAAACCCAGCTAAAAAGCGTAAAAGAAAAATAACATGCAAGCAATTTTTAAACTATTTATGACATTTTCTAATTATTTTCTCTTAGCCCTTTAGCCCTTCATCCTTTTTGCCCCTATTTTTGTGTCCCAAAGCCTTAAAATACTCTAAAAATAAAAAAAAAATAAAGGGAATGGTATCAAAGAATGTTAAATAATACGAACAGCAAGTTTTGGAAAACAATGCTAAATGCATAGAAATCCGAGTCCAAACTACGAGTACGCGTGTTTACTTCTAAATATATGAATACATTTACATCGCACAAATACTTCGGACAAATTTTTTGAACAACAGTAAAAGTACAAATCAATCGTGTGACGAACATGAAAATGTAATAAAAGTTGTATTAATAAATATACATCGTGAACACTATGGTCTCTAACACTTACACTATTATTTTAAGTACAGCGTTGACATCGTTCGTCCGGTTTTAGATTTTAGACCGGAGGATCAGGGAATACGGGAGATAAATTTATCATAATTCATAATAATAATAAAAACAGATCGTGATAAAAAAAAAAAAAAAACCACTCTGTACATATTTTTTGAACGCGACTTGTAACGTAAAATAAAAATAGAAATAATGATTTTCTGACAAATGTATTATTTTTTTTCCCCGTATCGCGTGACTGCTAAAGTACTAAATTAATTTTTTTGACGACCTACCTACCAACTTACCTATCCGCCCAAAGTATTTTATATTAATAATATATTATATAATAACCGAAAATTCTCAGAACGGTTAAAACGAAAAAAATTCAAACGTAATGAATTCCGAAAAACAGTTTTGTATTGATGTGCACAAATATTTGTATGCATTTTTGTTTCAAATGTATATAAACAGAATAAATCGTGAATGCTCTAAAAAAAAAAACTTCACCAGAAACGCGCTAAATTAGGTATTATTACGAAAACGTTTGAATACAATTTCGCGTGTGTTCCGAAATTCATCTCACAATTTTATAACTCATCATTTTCATCTCGTGTTATCTGCAACTTCTCACTTCTCTTGCACTTTCTACGTTATGATGATCACGTATAAGTGAGAACCTATATTATAATATCGTCATTGGCGAGAATAAATCTCCTGTATGAAAAATTGGCAAATTGAGGTTTTAGTATCACTGGATTCAAAAAATAATTAACTTTAATATAATTAAAAATACCCGTGTTCTATCTTTCTTATATTAATCGGCAATCAGTTTCTAAAAGGAAGGGGGGGTCATTTGAAAAATAAACTTCGAAGGCCGTATATTTTTGGAGTTAAGCAAAAAAAAAAATCCCAACCTCTACCTATTGAGTGTTCCATCTTATTTAAAACTTCCAGAAAAAACATAAATTTTTTTATTTTTGTATTAAAAACACACTTGTTATTAGAATATTATTTCATAGAATAACATATATAAACAATTTTATAATA